TTTTAGGTTTCTGAGGTATTGTTTGAAGAACAGTTGAAAGACACCGGACGCAATGCTTGGTTTAATTGTACCAAATATATTGAAACCAAAATATTTTCATTTATTCTAAAAAAAAGTTGATTTTATTTGGGAGAAAATAAAAAGAGATTGGAAGAAAATGAAAATATTTAAAGTTTGTGGGTTTACAAAATTGTCCCTTCTCAGACTCCGTCCAAACGCGGAGTGATCCCACCAGTTAATAAATAAATGCCAAATATATTTATTTTATTCATCGCTTTATTTAATTTTCGATCCCATGAAAACTAAGAGCTTCCGTCCGGGTCCTGGAATGTCTGTTATTCATGACGGCACTGTCTGCAAACTTGACTAGTAGATCATATGCATTAAGAAGTAGAAGAGACAATTATTGAAAGGAAAGTTTGTGAATCTGTGGCCTAGAACTTTCTCAGCTTCATCAACCTTGTCAGTTATCGCGTCGGGTCCGGAGACTTCGAAGACAAGAGACTGAGGTACTTTCGCCTCATTGTTGCCACGTGCGATGTCATTCTGAAGCCCACCTCCCGGTCAGCAGCAGCACGTCAATGGCCGTAGATGATGGCTTTGCATGCTGCACTGCGAATTGTGAATAGTAGTGGACGGGCGGCACGCCAACAGTGCATTGTGAGCAACGTGACTGCTCTCTTCTAAATGATGTTCGAGGAATTGTTTTACTAGAACCAGCTACAGAACACATTCATCTGCACACTTTACTGACTGTTAATCGAAAATTGTTTCTTTTTTTATTCGCCTTTTAAATTTTAACATATCTTCTGCTTATCGTACGACGTTATCTCTTGTTTGGAAGGTTAACTTTTAATCGATTTTTCGTTTGGTGAGTTATCTTGTTGGGTTTCTCTAATCCGTTGCCAATTTATATTTTATGATAGGGTCATAACTTGGAGAAATAACTACAAAGAAGATGATTCGTTTGTACTAGATAAACTGTCAAACCAAAGGGTTTCATAACTAAAAGACAAACAAAATACGTCTTAGAGTAAGAGCACCAAAGAGTACGCAGTCCTAAAACAATTCAATTTTTCAACAGTTCGCTAAACTGTTTCATTTCCAACATTTGTAATTTTCAACATTTATGCTAAGTTGTAAACATCTAGCAGTATCTACTAACTGATCGTCATCTGAGGAAATGACCGCAATTTACGTTTGATGGCGATACTGCTATTACAATAGTACATGAACACTCAAAGGAGCATCAAGATGACTTATATGACATGAGTTAGTAGTATAAGCGATGACGCATTAGCATCAGTGAATCAAAATTGTCACACAGGGCGTTAATATTAAAATCATAAACATTCCGTCCTCTGATAATCGATCATATCTATCCACTTTTTTAGACTCACAGTACTTTTTTTTCAAAAAAATCGCAGCTTTCCGCTGTCCATGACAATACTTTCTCTTTACTGCGTGAGTACTAGTAGGTGAGAAAATAAGAACATTTAACAACCTAGGGGTAAAATATAAATGTAAGAATGAAACTAATAAGAAACAGTTTAACAATGTTCCCTCGATAAAAAAAACTTCAGCATAGCATGCATTTTGTGATTAATGTTGATTTCTCATGTTTCAGTTTACATCTCATGTTTGTCAACATTATTAAATTAGAATACGAAAACGTGAGTTATTCTTTACCGCAAGTCGAAAATAAAAACGTAAATTTCAATAAAAGTATTGATAAGAAAAGGATACGCTGTAATTTAGGAAGCATTATTTACCAAATACATTATTCGTAACATAGCAGATACTCATTACTCTGAAGCTTAACAAGTGAACGTTGCAACGTCGACGCGAATCACCCGTCACCGACAGCCGAATTACTATTCATGCACCTCCCGAAATTCCGCTCGCCAACGCAGCGCCGTGCCACAGTGCATCGCCGGCGTGCCGTAACCCCGCCGTAAACTTTCGAATAATTCTGCAGTTAGGTGCCGTAACGCGGCGCCGCTTTTGGCAGCGCTACACACACATCGGAGAAGTTCCGGTGCCCTTCCCCGCACTTCCTCGGCGCGTCCGGAGCGGCACGCGTGCGGCATACACGCAGCTCCGCACTTTCGCTGAGACACGCGGACACGCGCGCGCGCACGCATTAGCACGCCGTTAGGGCGCGCGGTCGCCGCCGCGGCCAGCTCGCGTATTTAGCTCGCGCTTTTATTAATTTCTCTTTGGCACAGAGCCCTCCAGGACACACCCTCGGGACTAGGAAAAGGGGGAAGTTGAGGTGTGAAATTTCTCACGGAACGACGGACCCTATTCTCATTTGTTTAACTGGACCAATTTTGTCTTTATTTGCTTATAAGGAGCTGTATCTTCATTACATCACACATATGTGGAAGATTTTTATCCGATAAATTATATTGACATGAATAGGAAGTATTTTTTTAAATATTGTAATGACGAATTTTCTCTACAGAGCAGGAACTTAATGGAAGTTTGTGCAGACGTAGAAATTGTAGCGCTTTGACCTCGCTCAGCTGGAACTAGTGTCGCGTAAATGAAACGCCTCGCTGATGGAGCTAAATACCGCAAAACTGCGAAATAAAGCAAGAAGTTCAGACGGGTCGCTTTGGTTGTTCGGAAATCTTATGTTTATTATTTCATCAATTATTTATTGGTTTATACCGTATAGGGTCGAGATACTGTAAACAGTACTTTCTCATTTAAGTAGTTTACTTGTATTATTAGTACTATTAATGTTTCACAAATTACTTTCGTTATTATCGCTATAATTAGTTTTTCATCTTTTCAGATCATACATATAATGAATGTAATGAAACATAAATGTTTAAAAATTGCATTTACTTGATATGAAAAGCTAGATGTACCAAAGGAGTTCCAAAACACGACTCGTTAGGCGATTTATAAATGTAAGATATTTTTGTTAATTTCCTAGACACAATAATTAATAAAAAATAATATAATTTTGGTAAGTAGTAACTCTTCTGTGTACTCGTGCCACAAGGTCAATTTTGCTGTAGTCTTTCAAGAAACCAACTTCTGGAACACGGTAGCAACTCCGTACTCTTCTCTGATGTGGCACTAAGGGATGAACAAAACCACGATTCAATAACCGAAGCAAATGCTCACTTTGAGAAAATTCTACTTCACTACTGCGGTGTTGGAAGATTTTAACACTTAAGTTATATTTTTGCGTAGTTACAATGAAAACTAATGCTGTCAAAGTTATTAAAATACATTGATTCAATGCTGCAAAGCACATTAAATGCATGAGTATAGTATGCATAAATATAGCAGTTTTAATTATACAGTGCTCAACTATGGACCACCCCCATAATTTCTAAACGGTTCGCGATATCGAAAGGTAGTTTTCTCTTAACAATGCGGAATCATGTGTCAAGTAACATGTCTTAGAGAAATGGTCAATAATATTTTTAGTTTTCGAGAAATTTAATCAGCTTTGATTTTAAAATGAAACAATATTTTTCTTACCAGCAATAGACAGATCATGAAAAGAGAAATAAAATGATGTATCATATGTTAATATTTTGATTGTAATTTGATAACAAAATTAGATTTACTAACATGTGGTTTTTAAGTAAACGGACACTTCCTGTAGCAGCCCTTGCAACGGTCCCGTTGGGCAAGGTGGCCTTCTGGCGTCGATACTGTTTCGTTGAGAAAGGAGGCTGAGCGGGGTGGCCATGAAGGAAAGAGGCACAACTACAGTAATCCATGGTATTGACACGTCGAACATATGAACAAACATCAGTATTAAGAAGAAGAGAAAATATCAGAATGAGAATTTGGTTTTTCCATTTGTTCATCTGAATTGAACTTTTCTTCTACTGAAATTCCAAAGCAACGATAATCGAAAAGAACAGAATAAAAAAATCGTATCCGAAGAACGCTAATAACAAAGGTCATTTTTAAACTTACAAGAATCGAGCTCATTGGCTTATGGGAGAAACAAGCCATAATTTTAAAGCTTGGGAAGGGAATGAAAGCATCAAGACTTTCATTGCAATATCAGGATTCATTCATTAAATAAAAGATAGGTAGATATTTTTTCTTATTATTTACTGTTAATAAACTTCCTATTTAAACATGTACCAAAAGAACAAAGTGATAAAAAGTTTGAAATACTCTTCACAATTCTTTCTGAGTACATTTACCAAACTTAAACAAAAAGGCGCAACTGCAGTCGCGACTGCTAGTACAGATTAGAGTTTCCCACTTCATTGTGCCACGTACTATCAGAAACTTGAAAATCCACGACACAAGACGGAAGTATACGTGTTTTCTTTTCCATTTATGAACAGCAGTAGTCGTATGGTTACGAAGTAGAGGAATTATCATCTTAATTAAAAATGAAATTTATCAACGAAGGGGATTGGGTTCTTGTCAAGTCTGAAAAGATATTTGTTATTATCATTTCCCTTACCTACCAATCTTTTTATCATTCTTTGGGACGATCGATTTTTTTGAATATCAGTGTAAGACAAGTTAAATCCAAATCCAATGGAAAAAATCTCTCATACTGATCGTTAAAATTGGTATTTCTTAGTGTGACCTCAGTGTTACGACCTAGGATTGCTGTAATTATGCCTCACTGCTACCCCTCTCAGTCTCCCCTCTCCGCGCAACAGTCTTGACGCCGCGAAGGCCACCTTCCCCGAAGGCGAGAGTTGCAACGGTTGCTAAAGAAATGTTGTCCGTTTAATTCAAAATTACACGTCAAAAAGTCTAATTTTATACTCAAATTACAATGAAAGTACCAACATATGATACATCGTTGTATTCCTCTTTTCATGATCTATCCATTGCTAGAGAGAAAATATATAGTCCCATTTAAAAAATCAAAGATGATTAAATTTCTCGAAAACTAAAAATATTACATATAATTTATCTACGGCATGGTACTTTCCCCATGATTCCGCATTGTTCAGTGAAAATTGCATTTCGATATCCTGAACCGTCTAGAAGTTATGGAGGTGATCCATTGTTGGTGGGATATTCTGTATTATTAGTTTGATCAAAATATTATGTTATATAATAAAAGTCTCACGTTTACACATTGTTAAGTGTTTCTGCTTCGTGAGACGTGGGAGAGGTGAGTCCAAGAATGACACTAATGCCATTGTCTATTATTGAAGGGGTTAGCCTAACAGTGGTATAAGCCACATTTTAAGAAAACAGAAAAATCGAGTTAAAGTTATATAGTTGCCCTTAGAAGGAGTTGTGAAGAGACAAAAAACAGACTTAATTTCTAACTTTGTACGGGAAAATGGTCAAATCAAAATTGTTCAAAGATAGTCAACCTTCTTAGATTACAATTGGTGTCAATAACCCATTTTTCATTGTTGGGGGTTAGATCACTGTTGCGCTTTGCAACAGTCATAAGCAACGACCCTTCATATATAGTAGACCATGCTAATGCTGTGGAGTCGAAACCTGTATAAGGTGTGAATGTTTTAAGTTGTGTTCGTGGCATTAGAGGCATTTCGAGCCCCTCCTGTTTCCTGTCTGAGTCGAAAGACCCAAATTTGTTTTTCTTTAACGTAGTATACAGTACTATAAACGCCCGTTGTTCGTTTGCAATAGTGTATGCAATTTCTTATTTGAAATACAAATGTCCATTGTTCTTCCCTTAATAAAATATTAACTAATTACAACAACTCGAAACTAATATTATTGTTATAGTTCGTGTATTCCGCAGATCAATTTTCTGCTCCATGTAACGCGCCAAATAGTTTCAGATATGCTCACTTGTAAATTCTTTGCATTCAGATTTCTTTGAGCGAGCAGAACACGAGGCGATCCTGAGACTCGTTTCAACGCCATCTTGACTTCAATGTCTTTCTAGAGGGCGGTGTTTCAACTGAACCGCGGCGCAGCGGCGATATTGCTCACTGATGCTCAGTATGCGTTTACGGTTTCAGGTGACGGGTCTGTGACGGGACGTGGCCGGCGAAGTGTGACTCTGGAACGTGTAGTTTGTGCATCAGTACGGCGTGTTCCCAAGATATCACACCAGGTAAGACTTTTAAATTTTTCTTTGTGTATTTTAATTTGTTTTTTGTGTAGAATTATATTTGAAATTCTGAAATTAAAAAAAACTTGTAATCAAATTAGACTATTACGTAGCAGATTCCTTACGTTTGATCATTTTAATGTATTCGCAAAGAGGATCGACGTGATAAAAATAATTTTCGTGTAAAATGTCTACAAATGAGATGTACGCATCTTCAAAATCAAAACTAACGCTAGTGACTTCGAGTGATCTTTGTGCAAACGCCGGGAAAATGTTATATTGAAGCGATATCAAAAACAAGCTTTCCAGCAAGCATATTTTAAGCCGTATGTGGATTTTGTAAGACTATTATATTTTGCACTGCGTTGTTACCTGAATATTGGCCTCTTGCCCGACAAGAGTAACCTTTCCGTAGACTTCTGGACATAATGTTTCGGCTAAAAGATAAATTTCATTCTATCATATGTTGATCGCGACTAGGAAGGCGTAGGAAGCGTAGCACGGCAGCTCAACAGTGCTGAATAGTTGAAAAACGAAAATGGAAAATGCGCCCTTGGAGCTAATTCGACATTTATTGAGCGATGAAAGAATTACAAAATCCAATAAATTAAAGTGAAATACTTTATCTTGTAATAAAGAATAAATGAGGGATCTCTAGCACGAGGGGAATAAGTGCATTTTAGCAGATTTTTAGTAGAGAGTAGGAGTGTATAAAAATATTTAAAACTCAATTTTATTTCTTGCACAGATGGTATGAAAGACTGGTATGGATTGTATGGAGTAAAGGACAGTAATGAATTGTTCGCAACGTTTGATAACGAAAGACTGCTCTCGTATAATGGGAACCATTTTCAACCTAGCCTCAGACATCATTTGCACTGCTAAGGAATTACGAACAAAACCTCTTCTCTGGTGTCTTGCAAAAGGAGAGCTCACGAAAACATGAGCAGGGAGTTAAGTGTAACAGTTTAGATTTGTGTTCCTAAGGCAAACTTCCTTGTTTAATTGTGAAGAATGATCAACATTTTGCACTTCTCGATTTGCCCCCCTCCCCCATATATACTACAAATGCAAATTTTAACCAACAAATTCAAATGCACAATGTAAAAATCTGAAATTTGATAACCGAGACAATTTTCAAATTAAAATTATAAAATTTAATTCCCTGAGTATGCGGTCGTATGAAAGTAATTTGCAGGGCTTAATGTAGTATACTCGTGTCATAAATACCATTCCAAATGCCGTTGCTTTGACAGTGGATGCAGTTCTTGAGAGGAATCTACGTGCACCGCAGAGAAAAGCATAATGTTAACTTCTCCCCACCAATAAACCCCTGTCAGGAATAGGGGAATTTTTTTTTGTTAAAACGAAAAAAACTTACGTAATTGTACAATTTCAATGAACGTTTTTGAAATTAATATTACAATATATCTCCTGTCGTCACATGAAATTAATTTTCTTCTCTCTTCTCGTATTCTTGACAGTTTCGATACACCGTAGTACTATACTGCACTCATACTCGATAGCACTATTACTAATACTTCCGCTGGACAGTACTACCATCTTCGGCATTGATAACAAGCGTGTCTTGTGAAACTCGAAAGGAAGATTCAATTTAATCAACAAGAGCAAAATTTGAAGCTGTGAAATTAGTTGCAACAAAAATGTACTCCGTATTTCAAAAAGATACTTATTAAAATCGCAGCTACCTTTTAAGTGCACTTCTGTGACTCCAAATGGTGTCCGGACGGACGTTTAGGTTTAGGTAGGTACGTTTCGCTGAGGAGATGGGCTTTTTTCGACGGGGAGAAGGCCGTTTCTTAGGGGGAGGCTTTTTTTACAGCGACTGTTTAAAGAACGTTGAGAATGGAAATTAGTGGTTTAAAAAAAATTTGCAATATCTTTGGGGTCAGAAAAAGCTATTCTTCCTGCATTGTGTATGTAGTGTTTTCATGATAAAAAAAACTTCTTAATCTTCGTGATCTTAAATTTGAATCTGAAGTTTTATTCAAGACTTATCAACTAATAGGTTATTCCAATTTTAAAATAATAATGAAAATTATGAGACTTATATTCATCTTTAATATCTCTTAGCTGTTCGAAATTGTATGTTACGTGTATTGGAGTTTAATAAGCATTGTTTATAAGGTTTGTATTACGTATGTTTCTTGAAATAATGAGAGCATATTAGTACTTTGAAGTGTTATTGTTAATATTACACTCCTAAATGTATTGGGGAAATAAGTGTTTGATTACTTTTAGGTTACTTTTAGAAAAGAAACTTAAAATAAAAAGTGATAAATTGCTTGCCGTGTTAGAAATATTTTTTCTTGCATATTCTCTCAATTCAACTCTTTTGCTCTTAATTTGTGCTTATAAACATAGTTAACTTATAAACATTTCTCTACAGAGAACACTCGGACTAATTTATTATGTCTTGTGTACTAAAGCTTTCTCTGGAAGATAAAATCTCATACCAATGTAATAAAAATACCCCATTAATCGTGGGTATACAGTTCAAAAATATTTTATTTCTAAAAACGTAATGGGATTAGAAAAATTATATTAAACGTGACTGAAGTAGCGTTTTGCTCCTTAAAATTTAAAAAAATGGAATTACGTGAATTTTTTTGGACAAACAAATTGGGTATCTGAATTATAAATTAGGTTTTCGAAGAACTGCATGAAAAGGTTGTGCACAGTTGCAAGAGACAGAATATTTGATTTCTAAACTAAAATGTATGTACTTATATTAAATTCTTGTATTTGTTTTAGGCGAATTCTATAAAGTGGCTCCCACTATCTGATCGTATTACGCAACTCTCCTCCCGAACAGACCCCGGCTGAATTAAGCTTAGAGCTCTTGTTGGGGTGCTCAAGCAGACGATGTGAATATAGCCTGCGGCAGCTCCTGTGGGGGTGTGTAATGCAGCCTCAGATTTTTGAGGTAATTTCTAATTTGCTTGTTCGTGTAAAGAGATAAGCATGGGTTTTGGGTTGGGTACACAGAAAGGGGTGTATGATTTAAGTTTGGTGCCTAGTGTCTTCATTTGGTTTAACGGGAAATCTATGTGCTTGCTTGGAGGCTTGTTAGCTTCAATGGATAGGTGAGTTTTTGTTTCCTTGAGTATAAGGATTGTTTTATTAAACTGGTGGGGTTGTTTTATGTCGCATGGATGAGCGGTTTTGTGTGGATGAAACGCTGTCCTGCGAGTTTTTTTTCTCGTTAACTGACAATTCAATGTTGTATATAGTCTTTAGGGTATTGGCGAATCCAGGGCAAGCCATGCGAGCCATGGCACCTCAAAACGGTAAAAAGTTTTTCTGTACATTATTTGTCGAAATTGAAATATTTGTTCTAATTATGTAATTATTTAAACAATAATATAGCATAGTATCATATCTACAATATATAAATAATATACAATATAATATCAAATGTATATTATTAAACAAAAATTCACGATGGTCCCCTCCAGAACATCGGCTGGATCCGCCCCTGCTTTGGGGGTCTTGATACAACGGATAAATAATAAGCAATAATGAATGCACAAGTGTAAAGGAGTGGTGCTATAACACCACGTACCTTCTCACCATTAGTAATGGTTATGTATTTCTATTTATAACACAATTCCTCTAAATTATTTTTTGAAAAGCTAATTTGATATCTTAGAAAATTTGTTGCGAAAAATAAGCAGAATGCAAGAAAGTAAAATATTTTAAAGTTAATAAATAATAGATTACTGATAACCTTAGAAACGAAATAGATCGAAAATAGTAATAGTAATTATTAAACACTAAGTACTGTAATATTCTACAAATAAAGTATTAAGTATCTAAAAGTATTTGTTTTATTTCTACGATCGAAAAGCATCAGTCATTATCGTGCTATCTGTGCGGCTTTACAACAGTTGGTAACAACCAACAATGACCGATCTATTCGTTTCACATTTAACACAATTAGAGGAATTAAAATGAAATAACAAATGTATAAACAAAATTAATAATAATTAATAATAAAGTAATACCTAATAATAATATAATGATTAATAATATAATGATTAATAATAATATAATGATTAATAATAATATGATTATTATTTTTAATTATTATAACTTGCGTAACATCAAACTGCGTAAATTGGGAGCGGGCGACTGAAGGGGTGACCTTCAAGACAGGCCTAGTAACTCCTTGGTGACGTCACCACGTGCTACAATTACTAGAAGTATAGGAAGCTGGGGTAAGGTTCGAATAGTGTAGGCGGCGAGCCGCAATGTTATTTATTACGATCGTATTTCTAAGTCTCATACTCACAACTTGAACACACAACTACCATTTACCTGTTATAAAAGAAAACATTGCTTCTCTCTAGAAACACTTTTATGAGAATTGTATTTAGATTTAGATTTCTTTAGCATTTAAATGTGTGTTGACGGGTGTATAAAAAGGCAGGTAAAAACGTTTTCAATAAACATTCCGGAAATTCTTCTAAACCAGATGAATATTTATATTTGTTTGCTGACTATTCTCAGAATTCCATACCCATCCGCGTTACTCTTGCAAGCCTCTCTTAATTGAGCTTGGAATCTTACCACTGCCTTGCCAATATATTTACGAATCTGTAATATTTGTCAAAAGGGACTTGCTTAACGATAGGAGCATACTTTCATGCAATACTGATATTTATAATTACAACACGTCGTAAAACTCACGTTCATAAAGTGTCAGTATCAACAGTTCACTTTCAGAACGCCACATACAATATATGTACGTTACTTTACAACGCACTGACAGAGGACATTAAACGATTGAAGTCGGTTCTCAAATTTGCCTAATTTTTAAGTGTTGCTAATCTCGCGCTTTTAAATTTTCAATTTTTTTATTATATTCAATTTTATATTTATTAACTTTAAACTAACTTAAACAAGTTTCGGAAATAAACATCGTTTCGAACATTCTGTGGGAAGGGAATGGTGTTGAATTTTGTTTATTTAGTCCCCTAGTGAGTTCAGCCGCAATTCTCGAAGTGTGTTGTTTGAAGAGCTTTGACACTTTTCCGGATTACTTCCTTCTTTCAGTGTCCTTTTAATCATTGTTTACTTAGTATCGAGATGGTGGTCGTATTTTTTACGATATTCCACATTGCGTTAGTTTTGTTATTAGCGTTCAAAATATCCTGATTATTTTTCATTATTTTTGCCTGAACTATTACTTCCCATAAAATTCTTTTGTATTCTCGGAAGTAGACATGGAAATAGGGTGATATGTTATGTTGTTTAGAAATAAAGTAAAGCGTACTTTTGTTTTTACACGATGTTCTAATTACTTGTGTGATCCAAGTATTCTTAAAAAAAAATAAAGCTCTAAGAAAATAATTATATTTTTCATGTGTCATTATCGTTATAAACTGTGTCCTTTGATTCTTTCAAGTAGGGCGTAAATAATTTTATATTAACTTTAGTGAAGGATTTGCTCACGCATGTATATTTGTGCATTATTTATTTTATACGTAAGCTTCCGCGGCTCGAATCCATCCATTCTCGGCTATCCGGGAGACTCCGCGTCGTTGGCTGGGGTGCCGACGTTTCGCCTGATATGTCGCAGGCTTCCTCAGGGCAGTTCCTCACTTATTTTAATACCTGCAAAGAAGATAACTGATATGCTTCTGAATTATAAGGAGATACAAGGGAGAATCAAAGCTTATTTATGATTTGTAACAAAAATTAGATAAGCAATACAATATTGTCAAATAACTTAACAATATTTATTCCATTAAAGTTTACATCATTTCAGTAATTTACATTACGTTAGGCATGCAAAGATAATGTATGGTTTTTTGCCTTCCCTGCAGGAGATAAAAAAATATGTATGCAGGTTTGTAATAATAAATTAAACGAAAGATTATCAGGTTTGTATATAGTAATAACAAAATACAAAACAAAACTCACGAAATTCTGTATGTACTCACAATTTACACAATTCGCATTTCCTAAAACTGTCTTAAGAGCTTATTTTCGAAGTTTCCTCTTTTTTCCCCTCACACCTTGATCTTCTACTACCAGGTTCCTCTCGTGGCACCACTGCTGTAGTGAAATAGTAAGAAGGAAGATCGGGGAACTGAGATGGAACGGCATCAATAACCAATTTCGGCACGCAAGACGATTTTTTAGTATTTCCGGATTTGATGAGGTGTAAGATGGGTGTCGTAAGCCTTGTGCCACATCGCTGAGCAATTATTTACTTCCATTCTGAGAATGCTACAAACACGTCTATAGACGATAACCTAGCTTTCTGCCAGTATCCACATACGGGTTCGAGAGCGAGCAAGGTAAAATAATGCTCGGTGCCATCCTACCGAAGAAGATAGTTGCGTGAAAGCGCTATAAATAATTTAACCACATTAACATTTAGTCAACTCTCGTTCAGCTAGGGCTGGTAACAGTTAGAACAGAAATAGAATATGTTATTACAGAAGAACGTGAAAAAACCGTCTGAAGAAGGAAAGATGGTGGAAGAAGAAGTTCCTAATAGTGAAAAAATGAGTCCGAATTTCGTTCAAAGATCAACAAGAAATTACCTACTACTAAGACTGTCTACTAAAAATACCTACTAAAAAAATACCAAGCGAGCAATATTTGCGTAGTGAATGCCTGTGACGAAAATTTTGCCTCGATACTACAAAGAAGCTATTACTTTTACATTACAAGTGCAGACAGTGAGTCTTTCGCTAACGAATGAAATGCTGGAGAACGAGGCGACGATCGAAGCGGAGTGTAGGTTTTCGAAAAAATCCCCAAAGACCCTGTCGTAAGAGTTGCGCATATTATTACTTTCTCCCTATAAGAGTGCTGTAGTGTAGGGAGAAAAATATTGGAAACACTTAAACAATAGGTCTTTTAATACTCTTCCGTAAAGTTAGCGTTTGTTTCTTTTTGAACTGTAAAATTGGATACATGTAATTTTGTACCCGAAAATCTGCACGTTTGTAAGAGTGTCACGTTTATTTTGTGTGAATTTTTTTAGGCGACACTTCGTTAATACATCAGGAGTAAGATACACACTGTGATCAAAGTATGCGGACACGTGGCTGAAAATGGCTTTAAGTTCGTGGCGCCCTCCATCGGCAATGCTGAAATTCAATAGGGCCCACTCTTAGCCTTGACGACAGCTTCCGCTCTCGCAGGCGTTCTTTCAATTAGGTGCTAGAAGGATTCTTGGGAATGGCATCCCATATTTCACGGAGTGCTACACAGTGGAGAGGTGTCGAAGTAGGTCGGTGAGGCCTGGCTCGAAGTCGGCGTTCCAAAACATCCCAAATCAGTCCATTCCAGGGTTCAAGTCAGTCCATTCCAGGGATGTTATTGTCGTGTAACCAATCACGTTGATGTTTTAAACACCTTGCTACCCACTGTTGAAGAGCAATTCCGGGATGGCGGTTGTATCTTTAAACACGATAGAGCACCTATTCATACTAGTCATCTGGCGCAATGCAAATTTTTGCCTAGAAAGAATTTTTTCAAACCACCTTTTGAGTGCTTACAGCGGCTTAGCTATTCGGAATATCTAATTAGCTTTTTAGGCAAAATACGCGCAAAATTGTCTTATGATCCTCTTTTCGAAGTTGCATTGTTTCCTCCCCGAAAGTATGCGTGCGTGTGTGTGGGTACTTTTGTATCTTAATTGAACTGGTTTAATTTTCCTCTCCATATTACATATTACATTATTCTTTTAGAGTTATTAGTGGTAATTTATTATTAATAGTTTATTATTTAATACACAATTGGTGAAATCATTGCACGATTTTTAATGGGAAAGGTTTGCTTGAAAGTTCGGTCTCCCATTCTTATCTTCATTTATTTTCAAGTTTTGTGAATGCTCTGTATTCCCTTCTATATCTTAATATTTTATTTTTCAAAAA